TATTAAAAATACTGGTGGCATAGCTTCTATAATCACAGCAGCACACAAGCCTCCACAGCATGACAGACTAACAGACAAGTGGTAGAAGAAACAGTCATTAGAACAGAACAAAGGGACACTGAATGATTTACAGTAAGAAAAGGTGTGCACCTTGTTTGTATTCTTTCACCATATTTATTCAATGCTCAGCAAATAATTCAAGAAGCTGGTGAAAATAACTCAAGAAGATTGTGAAATCAGAGTTGGAAGAAGACTCATTAGCAACCTGCAATATGCAGATGATACAACCTTACTTCCTGAAAATGAAGAGAACTTAAAATATTATTGATGAAGATCAAAGACCACAGCCTTTGGTATACATTGCAACTTAATATAAAGAAAACAAAAATCCTCACCATCAGATTAATAAATAATGGATTAAAGATTGAAGTTATCAAAGACTTCATTTTGCTTGGATCAACTATCAACACTTATGGAAGCAGCAGTCAAGAAATCAACTGACATATTGTCTTCAGTAGATCTACTGCACAAGACGTCTTTAAAATGTCAAGAGCAAAGTGTCAGTTTGAGGACTAAAGTGTGCCTGATCCAAGTCATGGTATTTCCAAGAGCCTCATATGCATATGAAACTTGCGTAACAAATAAGGAAGACCACAGAAAAACTAATGCAGTTGAATTATGGTGTTGCAGAAGAATCTTGAAAGGACCATGGACTGCCAGAAGAACAAACAAATTTGTGTTGGAAGAAGTACAATCATAATGCTCCTTAGAAGCCAAGATGACTAGACTTAGTCTCTCATATTTCATACATGTTATCAGGAGGGACCAGTGCCTGGAGAAGGACATCATGATTGGCAGAGTGGAGGGTCAGTGAAAAAGAAGAAATCCCCAAATGAGATAGATTGGCATAATGGCAGCAGCAATGGATCAAACTTAACAATGTTTGTAAGTAAGGCACAGTACCAGGCAATTTCATTCTGTTGTGCATAAGAACACTCTGAGCTGGAAGCAAATAGATGACACCTAACAACAACATAAAGTACACAATAACATTAGGGCAGTACACATTCCTTACAATAATCAACCACCGGAGAACAAAATGGCAGTATTTGTCCAAGGAAAAAGTTCACAGGGAAGGGAGAGTTAGGAAAATAATAGGAATGGAAATGGGAAACATAGGGTAGAAGCAGGATGAATGGCTTTACATTGGCGGGATTGCCATCAATGACATAAAGCAAAATTTGTATGAATTGTTAAATGGAAAACTGACTTGCTCTGTAAACTTTCCCCCAATTCACAATTAAATGTTGAAAAACAAAGAACCCTTGAAAGATGATAGGACAGAAAATGGAAGCACAACACGTTATTCCATTCTCCCTCCATAAACAAACCAACTACAATTAGTTATTCTAGATCTGAATATTGATAGAAAAACTAGTCATTATCTGAGATTATCAATAGAATTTGGAGAGAGATGCATAGATCTAGGTGACCTAAAGAACGCTAATGGTAAATGACGTCCAAATAAGAATAACAAGGGACTACCATGCCCCTTGGGAGTCCTGGTATGGTGCTGTAGGATAAGCACTTGACCACAAGGTTGGTTTGAACCACAAGGTCAGTGGTTCAAATTCACCAGCCACTCTTGGAAATCCTATACAGGGTCTCTACGGGTTGGAACCGAATCAACAGCACTTAACAACAACAACCATCGCCCTGAAGTCCTGGGGTGGCCCTGTTGGTTAATGCACCAGACTGCAAAGTTGGTTTGAACTGTAAGGTTGGCAGTTCAAGCTCACCAGCTGCTCCTCAGAAATCCTATACAGGATAGCTGTAGGTCAGAACAGACTTGAAGGCAATTAACAATAACAACAACCATGTCCCCAAGAAAGGAGCTACAGTTGCACAATGATTAAAGCACAGGCTACTATCTAAAAAGTCAGATATGTGTACCCATAAGATGTTCTGCATGATCCGTAGGAGACAAGACCTGGTGGTTTTGCTCTTGTAAAAATTACAGGCCTGAAAACCCAGAGGGTCAAGTCTACTTTGTCCTATATGGTCGGATTAGGATTGCTTTGAGTTGGAATTGACTTTATAGCACACAACAATTGGCATTACCCATGATGAGGAAAAGATATATGCGACCCTCAATTATGGACAATTACATACATACATGCACTCTGTACCTAAGTGGAAGTAAACAACAGAGCCAATTAATTTAATTAGGCAGCCTTCAAAATAAGAATAAGGTAGTTGAAATGCATATTCAGTAAATATCAGGCAAGCTACAATGTTATGGTATAGATTTAAGCCATTTAACAATGGCTAGTTCAACCTCATTGTCTCTCCCTTTCCCTAAGTCTGTTTTTTAATAAGTTTAGAAAAATGATAAACATATATACAACAGCAATCTATATGTATCAGTTAGAGACTTTCTATTAAATAATCAGTGTTCACTTATAGAATATTTTCAGTGTTTAGAGTAATTATTTTGTTCTATTTGGCATTGTTATAATGAAGGTAATGAATTTCATGTTCATTTTTGTGCTAGAGTTCCATTAAAACATTTACTAAAATTAGGGATTTTTTAAACCATGGAAACATAATTGCATTCATTATCCTTTCTCGCCCTCAAATGTTTTATAATAAAACTAAATAATGAATACAATAATGAAGCTGAAGGACAAATTGGACTTGCATATTTTATAAACATGCTCAAGAGAGTAATTTTGCTACTTTACTTGAAATGGTAGTAAGGTTAATCGTGTGTTTATAAAAGAGAGAGCCCAATTCCCCTGGGGCAGGGAGGGGTAAAGAGGAGTGACTTTGAAATGACGTCCTTGGTGTCCTCCTTTGCTCTTCTGGGATTGGGGATAAGAAAGCAAAGCTTTCAAAAGAATATTCACTTTGACAGAAAAGTTAACTGTGAATTTGTCTTTACCTCCACCTCACAGGGACCCACCTTGTGCTGATCCTCCTAAAACAAATTATTCATCCAGCAGCCAAGCGTGTTGACTATTTGTACCACCTATGGACTCCATCGCTCTCCAAGTGAAACATACATTTAACTTCATTTGCTGAATTTCAAATGGAGAGAGATTGAGAAAATCCTTTCCAGGTTTTACCTTATGAAAAATTATGGACTTTTTTTTTTTTTTTTTTTTTAAAGTGAAAGAAGCCATTGATTTTGCCCCACCTTTGCTCTATACCTAAGTCAGTTCTGGTGTGGTGCTGTGGGTTAATGCACTGGAGAGCAAAGTTGATTTGAACTGCAAGGTTGGCAGTTCAAGCTTACCATCCATTCTTTGGAAACACTATACATGGTCACTGTGGGTTGGCACTGACTTGACAGCATTCAATAACAATAAGTCAGTTTTAGAATGGTCCACTACATATGTTGATCACCATTTGATCTTTATCTTACTTTAGGGTAAGCAGAATGCTACCCTACTCCACTTCTTTTCACTCCCAGTTCCTCCAGTGCTCTCACATGTGTGCAATGACAATCACATACACATGTCCCTAAGACTGTAGACCCTTGATAATATTGAAGAAAGTAGCACAATGTATTCTCAAAACTGTGTCCCTCCAAATAATGTCTGATTGGTTGAAGGATCTACAGTGAAGAAATACTTTGATTTTTCAGGAAATTCCTAACAAAGACATATATAGTCAAATGAACAAAAATTTATAATAGTCATTTGATTGGTTAAGCTCTGATTGAGGCGACAGGGAGGATGAATTAGGGGTTAGGAAAGGACTTTTATTGGATAATTAGACCGTGATTGATATCAAGAACTAATTACAGACTTTCTCCTGCTTCCTGCTTTCACTTTCTTCTGAAGCCTGGAGCTGCTGCTGCTGCCCCCAGTTCCCCCCGTTGTGGGGAGGGTACCAGGTAACTGCATCTAGAGGGGTCCAGAAGAGGGAGGAGGCATTGCCTCCACTGTAGCAACTGCACACAGGATGCCGAGCATCAAGTGTGTGGTGGTGGGTGACGGAGCCGTGGGCAAGACATGCCTGCTCATATGCTACACAACTAATGCCTTTCTCAAGGAGTACATCCCCACAGTGTTCGATAATTACAGTGCCCAAAGCGCAGTTGTTGGTCGCACAGTGAACCTGAACCTGTGGGATACAGTGGGCCAGGAGGAATATTACAGCCTCCACACACTCTCCTACTCTCAGATCAATGTCTTTGTCATCTGTTTCTCCATAGCCAGCCCACCCTCCTACGAGAATGTGCGACACAAGTGGCATCCAGAGGTGTGCCACCACTGCCCCGACTTGCCCATCCTCTTGGTGGGCACCAAGAAAGACCTGAGAGCCCATCCTGACACCTTACAACGCCTTAAGGAGCAGGGCCAGGCACTGTGCGCTACCTCAAGTGTTCTGCCCTGCAGCAGGATGGCGACAAGGAGGTGTTTGCTGAGGCTGTCTGGGCTGTGCTCAACCCCACACCAGTAAAGTGTGGGCAGTCCTGCATCCTCTTGTGACCCTGGCGCTCAGCTTGGAGGCTGTCCCGTCCCCTTACCAGTTGTCCCTTGGTACCTTGTCTGCCCCCAACTGTGCCTTAAGGACTAATTCTTTCACTCCTTGCCAGTGTGCTCCCTGAAGCCCAGGTTCTCTGAATGTCTTTCTTCTTTAAGAAAGCCTGCAGGGGAAGGGGCTTTGGGCCCTGCCCCACCTCACTTGGGTACATCAGGTATTCTCATGAACTCACCAGGCCAAGGTTGGGTCGCTTTCCAAGAGGCCAGCCTCATGCCCTCTCCCCATCTTCCCTACTGACCATTTCATCAAGCTTTACCTCACAGGTGGTGCTGCCTATTGTGGTGCCTCAGGTTAGGGTCTCAGCCATCCCTACCTAACATCTGCCTTCGCTCTTGGAATTGTCCCCTCCCAGAGATGTTCTCTCACATCCCTAAGGAAAGAGCCACAGAATCTTGAGATGTTCCCTAACCTGCCCTCATGTGACTTGACCTTTTGCAACCACTGACTGACTCAGCTCCTGGGGTCTTTTCTATCCTGAACAGCATCAATAAAACCTCCTGTCTCCTGTGGAAAAAAAAAAAAAAAAAAGAACTAATTACAGAGGTTTTCAGTCATTACACAACTTTCAAGTGTATTCACAAAACATGACTGGAAGATGTTTACACAGCTTTATTCAGATGTCTCAGTAAGGTGTGAAAACTCATTTTGAGTCCAGGACCTACATTTCACTGAAACAACTTGGAAAACAAATACCTCTTTCAGTGGTCTGGAAAACTTTAGATAAGGTTGGTTTCAGGACAATTTCAAGCAATTCTCTTCATGACATTTTTGTCATGAAGAAAAATTCCTTGCTCAACTTTATACAAAGACAACTATGTCATTCCCTTTTTAGAGAGAATAAAAGGGCTCCAAAAATTTCATGGGAAAATAGAGTGAAAATGTAATGGAATTTTCACACAAACTTTCGTAGGCCCCTCTATTTTTTTTCATACCCTGGTTTGACCAAACTCTCTTCAGAGTTTTGATGCTTTCTAACAATTAACATAGATAACAGGAGCTTGTCAGAAGTTTGTACTGACTTAGTAAAGCAAACATTTAGTCCTGGACAGACAGACAGGTAAAAGACAAGTTAACTTCAGCATAAAAAAAATTAATGAAATAATTTAGTTGTAGTCAAAAAGTCTTTATAAATTTCTCCTTTATATATTCAGATGTAAATTGATACTTCTCGTCATTTGCCAAAATGAAAGGATCTTATATGTGAATTCTAGCACCTTTCTGCTTCCATGAGTTGTATTGCTAATCAAGCATAGGACTCTTCTCTGCTGAGTTCTTATGAGACTAAGAATCTTTCAAAACACAGTTTTCTGGGAATTCATTATCAATTAATTTTTTTATTGAAATAAATATATCCTTGAAGATAAAATTATAAACATCTATATCCTAGGAGCTCTGGTAGCGTAGTGGTTACGAATCGGGCTGCGAACCTTAAGGTCAGCGGTTCGAAACTACCTGCACCGCGGGAGAAAGACGAGGCTTTCTACTCCCGTAAAGATTTACACCCTCGGAAACCCTATACAGGGTCGCTATGGGTCGGAAACGACTCGATGGCACATAACAACAACAACATATCCTAGGCACTTGTCTGTCAGTTTGTTGTACTGTGGTGGCTTGTGAGTTGCTGTGACTCTGAAAGCTATGCCACCAGTATTTTAAATACCAGCAGGGTCACCCCTGGTGGACAGGTTTCAGATGAGCTTCCAGACAAAGACAGACTAGGAACAAAGAGTGATGAACTACTTCCGAATATTTAGTCATGGTAAACCTTATGAATAGCAGAGAAACACTGTCAGATAGAGTGGCAGGAAATGAACCCCTCAGGTTGGAAGGCACTCAAAATGCAACTGGGGAAAAGAGCTGCCTCCTCAAAGTAGAGGTGATCATTATTACGTGAATGGAGTAAAGCTTGTGGGAGAAAAGCCCACGGGACCTTCATTTGCTGATGGGGCACAACTCAAAATGAAGAGAAACAGCTGTAAACATCCACTGAATATCAGAACGTGGAATGTACAAAGTGTGAATC